CAGAGCTCATGAAGAGCCAAGAAGAACCAAACAGTATGATAAAGGTAACCACATATGACAGTGGAACCACTTGTTAATGCCTCTCCATTATACACAGAGAAATAACACAGCAAAATAAACTGGAAAAGACCATTTTCCCTGACCCCACTTGCAAGCCCACCATGCGCTATCTGGATTCCTATTTCATTTCTTGCCTCCAACACCTCCACTGAAGACCTCCAGAACTGTCCACCTCTGACAGTTACTAATCTTCTTCTAATTTCCACCATATGTTTATACATTATCTGCTCATTTTATTATAGCACTGGGTTTTGACCTTAGTGCTGGTCAAAATGGCCTTTAAGGCGAGCAAGGTTTGCAGGGAGAGGTAACTTCTTTTATTAGAACAACAGATGTAGCTGGAAAGAAACGAGCTCGTAGGCACATGACCTGTGGGTCAAAACCTTCAGGTCTGAAACAGAAGAAATATTAAACACAGCTTGGAAACAATAATTCTGCATAAAACAGTTACCCAGTTTGAGTAAAAATGAAGGTAGAATTGGTATCTGCAGAATAGGGGGGATATTAGCAAGGAGTGAGGTAAGTCATAGGTACTCATGTGCCAAAAGAGATGCCGTTAACTGCTAGAATGGCAGTATTTTCCTGTACAAACTATAATCCTAATGGAATATCTTGGCTAAAGGGGCCAAACCTCCTCATGAACTACATGGTGTGAGGCACAAAACACATCGTTTCAGCCAAGGGGCAGTACGGAGGCCTGGCCCAGCTGGGCCCGCACCACACGCATCCCCAAGAAGAGATTTTTAGGCCTGCTCTTCAGAAACTCCTTCCTCAGGTTCGGGGTGGTTAAATTCCGGATACATTGATTTTCCATGTTTCTCAAAGCACTGATATTGCCCTCAGCCAAGGGGCAAGCCCCACACCTCACAAAAACTCTTCATATATGATTCATAAGTATATCAGAACTACGGGCACAATGCAAGATTTAGCCCTTTGGACAAAGGCTCCAAAGAAAATTAAAAAGAAGCACCATATACTGGCACATTAATGCTTCTATAAATTTAAAAAAAAAAAAGTTATAAAGTTTTTAAATGATTTTACAAAGCACTGCATGCTTTTTAATACTTCCATACTTGGATTTTATATAAAAGGAAAAACAAATCGACACACTGGTTTTGTTGAATCATGCTCTGTGGGACAAAATATTTAAAAATCCATGCATTTCATGGTGTTGCTCTGAAATATTCAGAGCTGTTGCTGGCTTTACCCTGCCTTCACCTAACTAACAGTGGAGGAAAGCCCTGGTTTTAAGAGAATCTGAAACACTGAGCATTAAAGCACAGGCTCTGGCACTCATGCGCATGGTGAGAGGTGTTTATCCAAGCAAGCGGGCAAGCTCAAATTCACTTACCTTAAGAAATGCTATTTACATGGGCAAAGTCTGGAGAAGGGGCCCTTAGGAAAGCTAGCAGCAGGGCAAATACTCAGACCATCGTCTTCTGAAATTTTAGGGGGGAATATACTGGGCTTTATTCCTCATAAAATAACTTATGTGAATATATGAGGACTAAGCCCCACAGGTTCAGCATATTCTCTTTAAAACTTCAAAACATAATGGTCTAGCTGAATATATTTAATTAATTCATTAATTAAGGTATCTTCCTCTGCATATCCCTTTCTCTGACCTGTTTCACTAAAAGCAGTAAAACGTTTTTTGAGCCCCAACTTCCTTCCTTTTTAGAAGTTTCGGGAAACAAGAAGTCCTTTTCAAGTCATTCCTGCATGTGTTAGAAACAATTACATTAGAATGGGGAAAGGGAAAGCAATGAGAAAGTTTGTGAGACCTTCAAGGCAAAAACAAAACCAGACAAGGAAGACACTTCCCTTACACCCTCCTGTACCTCCCTGCCCTTCCCCAGGGCTCCCAAAGGAGATGTGAAAAGGGGTGACATTTTCACCTACCCCATTTCTAATTTAGGCAAAGGCCAAGTGTGCCAAGAGGGTTATTTTTGCTGCGGGGGGCGCCGAACAGGTGCAGCCGCAGCGCGCATGGCCCGCGGCCACCCAGGAAAGGTGACATGTGGGGACCCATGAGAGTCACAGGGCTCCTCCGCGAGCAGCGGGGCGGGGAAAGGCGCCGGGAGGGAAGGTCACTGCAGCCGGGCTCTATAAATCAGAGCAAACCCGCCTCCTGCTTCAATGAAATAGTAAGGGGAAGAGGCAGGAAAGAGAGGAGAGGGGAGAAAAAAAAGCCATAATTCTGCTCTGCTTTAACCTTCAGCATTTTTGATTTTTTTTTCTTGCCACATTCCTGCTCAGGAAGCAACAAAGATGAAATACATTATAGGTATCGGAGGGTAAGTTGCTGTTTATATTGCGTATTTATCTTTTGCATGCTTAACGGGTGCAAAATGAGCTTATGCTTGGGGATTCTGGGTCTCTATAAAATAACATTGTGGATGTCTAGAAAAGCTACAGCTTGAGACTCGCTATCTGGCTATAATTCATGCTGCTTTTATGGAGTATGACTCTATAGGATGGCATGCACCAAGCTTTTCTATAGTAACTGAAAATACATTGCAGTGGGAAACTAAGTAGAAATGTTAGAAATAATTGCGGTAGAAAAGCAGTCTGCTAATTAACTTTGCAGGTGAAATTAAGGGAATGGTCTGCCTCAGCTGGGGAAAAAAAATGGTTTTGGTATAAAGTTAGACTTTTAAAAGCTTTGCTGGAAAACCTGGGATGAGGGGGAAATCTTGCAGAGGGCAGGAGGGGAGGAAAGTGGCATGAAAATCCTTTCCCCCTGCAAAGGAGGATTTGGAAGCGGGTCTGGAAGGGTGTTCGGGACGTGGCGGCTCATGGAAGTTGGCATCGGTGCCCTGACTGCAGAGCAGCCCTTGGGAGGGCTGCGAGTGCCAAGGCCGCTTCGGGAAAGCGCGGGGGATTTGCGGGGCTCTCACTAATGGGTGAGAAATGGGCATTTTCTGACTGGGTAACTCTCATTTGGCCAGGAAGATTATCCAGGTCCCTTCTACTAAAGCAGGTTTTGCAGGTATGGGAGTCTGAATCATCCCCTGAAAGGAAAAGCAGCCTCATTTATGATTGAAGTGCTTTTCTAAAAATATTATTTATTTTCCTGTCCTAAAGCACTTCTCACGTGCCTTATTTTCAGGGGGTGCATTTTTAACTTGATGAATCTATGAATGAAGCTCCAAAATCAGCAGAAGTTTAGGGCAGGGAGCATTAGCAGCCAAGGTATTGCCAGGGGAAAGCCCTTGACAGACATATTATTGGGGAGTTCATTTAAAAAAAAGAAAATCACTTTTAATTACCCACTCAGGGTGTTGCCAGCCGAGGATGCTGTAGAGGCCACGGGGTTGGGTAAGGGGAATCGGAGCTCCCCTAAGCGAGGCTGAAGGGGCACATGGCAGGCGGCTGCTGGGCTGAGGAAGCAGGAGGAGCCCAGCGCACTCCTCCATCTTGAGGCTGCGGCGTGGGCGGGGGGGGGCCTCCCTTCGCTTTTGGGCAGACAGGGTAAAAGCGGGAGAGCCCTGCCGGGGAAATGGCCCTGGGGCGGGGCGGGGAGGTCAAGGAGCCTCCCCGGCGCTTCCTCGGGAGCTCAGCAGGGAAGGAGGCCGCCTGCCCCCCGCTCACCGCGGGCGGCGGGC